AAAATCGATACACGTGGCATTTTAATAGGTTGTCAGTCAATTTTCTTCACTAAACGTTTATTAAATACATTGCATTTAAAAACAAAATGTGTCATGGAAATGATACAATGTTAATCGAATGCACTTTGATAGAAAACGGGTTGAACATATTTAAATTGAAAAAAAAAACAAAAATCAAAGTTAATGGAGACTCTCGTTTCAGTCTATACCAAGTAATTTAACTCATATTAATAGTTCCTATGTTAAACTTTGTATTTTCGGTGCATCGATTATCGATAGTTTCGCTAATTCAATTTCTACGAACAACTTACTTTAACTTAATTTTATTAAAAAAATATATGATAGAGAGAGAGAGATACCACTTATATAACGAGAAATTTTCGTATCGAGAAAAAGAAAGAAAAAAGAAAGATATAACGAAGAAATAGAAATCACGAGGATATATATCATATTAAATAGAGCGAAGAAATTCGAATTAAAAAGTAATAATGAAAAGTAAGCATTTGGTATATTTATCTATTAAATGAAAAAAAAAAAAAAAAGAATAGAAAAATGCTGAGAAAATCAAGTAGGAATATACTGGATTTAGTTATCCCATGAATATTCAAGCAGTCCAGATCGTGATTTCTCAAGAGCACCATATAGAACGAAAAGAAAATAATTTCTCTCTCTCTCTCTCTTTCTCTTTCTCACACACATACTTAAGAATGATGAATAAGTATCTTTAGATAATTCCATACAAACTTACCACATACGTATACGTGCACACAAAACATATACCATGTAATATACACGCAATATTACACGTACACCTACTTACACACACACACGCAACACACATATATATATGCAACACCAGGAACATGTTGTTGTTCATCCTCTTTCACCATGATTCGTTTCATCCTTCGAAACGAAAAGCAGATCACCTCACCACGGATTCGGATAAGAAGAAGGATGGGCCCACAAGTTTATACATGGATGCCTGTTGATGATGATGATGATGATGATGATGATGATGAAGATGATGATGATGATGATGATGATGATGATGGTCGGTGGTGGTGGTGGGGTGCAATCACGGTTCGGAGCTCATGATGAAGAAGAAGAAGAAGGTGCTGAGAGAAAGAGAGAGGGAAGAAGAAGAAGAAGGAACGAGCCGCTCACCTTGGCGCCCGTGGTATGCGCCCATTGGCGTCTACCTCAAAGGCGTAGTCAATATTTCTTCTTCGAACCAATTGATCATACACAACCTCTTTACTTGATCGCGTTAATCGATCTCCACTTACTTTTTTTTTTGCTTTTTTATTATTATTATTATTGTTATTATTATTATTATTTTCTACAACTAATTATAAATATGATTTATCTTCGTCATTATGGATGGTTATACGACAATTCGATTACTTATCTCCCCTTTGCAAATTATATAAAAATTAATTATATATATACGTTCGTTTTTTTTTCTCTTTTTTTTTGTAATCTATAATCGCAAATGGTTTTATTCTTCTCGTCTTGTAAACTATGATTGGATATTATTCAATTATTATGGTTGCTAGTTATTAACGATAAGAATAATTACATGTTACTTTTTTCTTTTTCTTTCTCTTTTTCTTTTTTAAAGTAGTAACTTTATAAGGATTTTGTTCTTAAAATTAGATTAAACGCGTTAAATTGATGTGGATCATAATCAGTATAAATGAACTGTTCTCATCGATATGCGTTGTGTAACTCTCTTCTCCGAGCACTTTCACTTACGGATTCAGCGAGACTACATATTTGTTTACAGCTTAACTCTTCGTATCTTCCTCCTTCCTTCACCCTGATTCTCTACATTTTTTTTCTTCCCTCCTTTTTGATTTTTTTCGTCCGAAGTAATATATATATATATAGAGAGAGAGAGAGAGAGAAAGAGAGAGAAAAAAATGAAAAGATCATTCGAAATATGGACGAACCCGCATTCCTCAACTTATTGCGTGCGATGCATTGCAACGTTTCAAACCAGCTACACCGGTTATCGTATTCATAGTTTTACGTTAGCATTAGCATCATCCTAACAAGGTATATGAGTATCTCGTGCGTTTGTTATGATTCCGTCGTCCTTGTTAAAGGTAATACATAAAAAGGTCTCCATTTTTTAACTTGAATTTGCTAATGAATTGACTAATGTTGCCACTCTAGTCTATTTTTTTTACAATTTGCTTTTTTTTTTCAAAGTGTGTGCATGTGCAAGTACACGTGCACGCGTATGTGTGTATTTAGGTATACTTACTAAGCGTTTAATTCCGTACAGAAATTGCATATCGGATAGGTTAACGAAAGTTAATCAATCATCCAAATGCATTTTAAATTGCATCTCTCATTATTAATTCAATTAATTTTATATGTTGGAATGTAAATGTAACGTAATATTTTTTTAATTAGTATCTCTTGTTTTTCTTTTTTTTTTTTTTAATTCTAACAAGATAATATTGTCGTTTCGAAATAGAAACACGCGGTTTTTTCTGATTAATTAACGCGCCGTGTTAATTAATAAGAATCAGGTGGTATGAAAATATGGGAATATATTTTATTTTCTCTTTCTATTTAGATATTTATGTGTGCACAAATATGCGTGCGTGTATAATATTTGAGATGGTCGGTTGAAATTTGTGAAAAAAAGGATGCAGGTGCGCTCGGGACGGTGCACTTTGTCGTGCATTCGTCGCATGGCTTGTTTACTTTACAATTTGTCATCGATGTACGCGTGAAAATGTGAAAAAAACAGGCCGCACGTTTTTTTTATGACATCAGACAATAGACAAACACGCGCAGTGATAATTAGTTAAAAACGTTTACAATTGTAATACGATATAAACTAATGCAATGAGTAAGAAATAATGAATAATTATAATACGTATATTTATAATAATAATTATCGATATATAAAGAAGGAAGAAAATATTTGGACATCCTTAAATTATGTTACATAAATTAATATAGAATATATTTTTCTTCCCCCTTATATAACAATATCTCGTTAAATATTATTAATTATTATATCCAAGGATTTTTTAATTAAAGAACGAGTACGTTTAAATCGTTCGTAAATTAATCCTAATTTACTATAGGAAAAATATTACTTCTTCCTCCTTTTTCTTGATGAAATTCTTTCAAATCTTCTTTTTTTTTGTTTTAAATTGCATCGCATTTCACAACTGGTTGCACTTAACGTCTTATTTTACCATGAACATTCTTTAACGTTCTAACAGTATACTCGGATACTTGTCGTAATATCAATGCCCGAACGACCCACACCTGGTACGTTGTTTCTTTGCTACCATCCTCCATTCTAAACAACTTCTATTGTAATCGATCTCACACGCCCACGATTGATCATCGTGGTAACTATAAAAAAAAACAAAGAAAAAAGAAAAAAAGGAACAAGATGGTTGTCCTTAGAAGAAAATTCCTGTGGGTGTTCATCTTTTTTATTCCTTTTCCTTCTTCTAATCAATTAATCTCATCTCTCTTTCTCTCTCTCTCTCGATTTTTTTCTTTTTCTATCGAACGAAGAGTCATCGATCGTGCATACCAAGCGTGATTAGCCGACTGAATACAAGTTACGTAAGGTGAGCCTACGGTATGTGCGGGTACACGGATAATATTAAATTGCAACGTTTACCTACAATCCGTAAATATGCTTATAATATTTCTGCGTAAATTTTTACAACATTTTAATAACGTAAACTCTTTTCAAAAAATTGCTCATCCATATGATTATTTTTCGAGATAGTAATTAAACATTCAACAAAATATTGAAGGATTATGAGATTCTGTAATAATTGCGAGTATAGACACGTGAAGCTTAGAAAGTGTTCTTAAATAGTGTACAGTTATCCTTTTTTCAAAGTTTTTATTCTAAATACAGTAATTAAATACTATTATTAGTATAAACATTTTTATTAATTAATTTGCACACAAATTTTCTCAGCGAATTTTGACGTATCTTTTCTTTTTTTTTAAATGAAGAGATCCCGTTAAATTATAAATTAATTTAACAATAGCTTTTTCGTTCATCTCGGAAAAGTTACTTATTAATGTCATTTTGAAAGTAGATACCTTATATATAGGATATCGAGTGATAGATATTCGTAAAGTACGATGAACATCGTGAAGGATATACATATATGTAAAGAGGAATAAGTTTTCTACGTGTCACACATACTACGCACAGAGATATTCTCGATTAAGGAGGGTATATGTGTTGGTATATCAAAGAATGCGTTTCCTTCCTGTCGATACGTATACCAAACATGGAATTACGGTGAATATTAGTCGTGGTACGTGTGCCATAAGCAACTAACTTCTACTTTGCGATTAATTAATATGAATCACGTTTCGTCGTACGTTGTCGGACGTATCTCTTCGTTCTTTTCGTTCTTCTTATTCTCTTCCCGACGACGATTCCCGGTTCGAGTTCTCGTCCTGGTCGACAGAAATGCCGGTGAAAAGTGGACGAAGGATCGGCGTCAATTTTCGACGAATTTTATTCTGGAAACCGATACGTCGATTCGTCGAATCCAGCAAAAGAGGTTTCTTTTATTTTCTTATTTGTTCAATCTTCTCAATTTGACTTGATCGTTAATATTAAATACATTCTACGCAAGCATACGACATTTCTATCATTTAGTGAAACGTGAGGTCTTTAAAATCTAATTAAGTTGTCATTTAATAAAACAAACGAACGATAAAATAATAACCATTTATTTTTAGTGAGAAAGAAAAGGAAAAAAAAATAAAACCATATATATAGAACTGTCACGGACGATTAAAATTTCTCTGGCAAATTAAAAGACGCGTTCCGAAATGTCGGTCACCTAGTTCTAAACGAGAATAAAGAAACGTCAGTAATTTAACGATTAAACTCAAACCATATCTAACGCAATCAATCATTGTTCAAGAATCAAATCACCCTGGTAAGAAAGTTGGAGTATCCCCATAATCGATTAAAAATGTTCTAGGTAAACATTTGGTGTTGGTGACGGATCCAGAAATAGTCGAGGATGCGTATGCATTCGACAATCCTTGTTTCAAAGATGCAACACCAGCAGTTGGAAGGATTTCAACTGATAGGCCGATAACAATAATCCCAGATACTCCTGCTAAGGATTCTACGCGTTGGTCGACCCCATGGACGTCGTTGGGGATTGGTTCGACCAATCGGAACGATAAGAGGAGAACGTTGGATGACTCGTGCCTCGGTGTAAGCTCTGATTACTTTTAAAATCAAACAAAAAAAAAGAAAAGTTAAACGATACTTTTAATCCGATCCCCGTCGTTGACTTACTTTGGTATAGTACTCGTTAACATCAGATTTCATCGGAAGTAAGGAACGGAGAAAGAGAAAGAAAGAGGAAAAAGAAAAATTATGTAAAATCGATGTTGGTTATTATCGAATGAGAAGTATCGAATGAAACACAGCAGGTAGGGATATTATGACGTGAAACGAACCCCATCGGTATTTTTTAACGTGCATATACGCGTGTGTGTACATGGCTGCATTCACGTTCTTATGTATGCGTATAAATGCATCGAAGAACGTGCACAAGGGTCGTTTGTCATTAACCGATGTTTATCCCTAATCGATTGAGACATATAGAATTTCGTAACCGATCGTAAAACGACGATGCAATCAAAATGTAGACATGCAGGCTTATCTATTGTCCATTTGTGGCATCGATTTCATTCGTCTCACATCTCTTTTCCTTATTTTTCTTTTGTTTTCTTGATCGTTTATATTTAATTGTAAGTTTAACGGTTGATTTTGTTGGTGTCAATAGCCCAAAGCTACCAGGGTCTGCGTAGTCAGTCTCAGAAGTCGAGATTTCACTGGACTTGGATTCAACGTTTGCGGAAACATGAGAGAAGGCATCTTCGTGAAAGATCTTCTTCATCGTGGACCAGCTTCGGAATCTGGCCGAATACATCCTGGTAATTATAGACAATGTTTTGTACAAAATTAGTAGTAGTAGTTAGGTTTTTTTTGATAAACAAAAAAAAGAACAGTTTATTTTCTTGTTAAGTCATTCATTGAAAGTAGGACAATTGTTTTAATTTTTAAAATGAAAAGCAAATGTCTTTCTAAAAGGAATATTTCTTTTTTTTTTTTCTTTCCAAACGAGAATGTTAAAACAATGATACTCTCTTTCGAACAATACAATGAAATTGTAATATCACGCAGCGATTTTATCTTGAACTCATCTCGAGGTTTATTTTATTTTCTTCCGTGAGAATGATCCATATACCTAGATTCTCCCCTTCTTAACAATTCTCGAGATCGGTGAAATTATGTTCATTCCTCGTGTCGTGTACAAATGGAAAAGGAAAATAATCTAATGAATTTTCCATTACTTCTTATAGTATTTCATAAGTATCATTCTTTTTTCCCCGATTTGCTAGTCAGATTAACGTGCAATCAAATATTTGTATATAATTTTTTTATGTTCAAATCTCGAAAATGGTTAAAAATATTAAAAATATGTCCGTTCGTTTATTTTGTCAGGTGATCGGATTGCAAGCGTGAAAATTAGCTTCCGGAACATGGTGTACGAAGATGCTCTGACGATTTTGAGTTATGCTTCGCCGTACGACGTTGAATTGGAAGTAGAGAGCGGTGGTACCGGATCAAAACCAGCAACCTTGTTGAAGAAAACCGTAGGACCGAGTCCAACGAGAATATGTCATCCACTTTACAGAAGTCAATCGATTCCTGAATTGTCTCAGGCTCATAAAAGTTCGGCTAAGAGATTGTTCATAGCCGATCCGAACGAGTCAGTTGGTTCGAATTATTCGACGATGAATTCGACCTTAAAATCTTCCAAATCTACGCCAGGTAGCCATACTTTGGAGAGGCGTCACGACGAGGCAAAAAACAATCATCACAAATTTGGTATCAAAGTATTACCTGCACTGGATGGTACCGTTCATCGTATCGAAAATCAGAACGAACATAACACGAACTTGGAACGAAGGCATTCGAAAAAGATGGACGTTGAGAAACACATGTCCAGCAGTTCGGCTGTCAACTTAACCGAGAGTGCTACATCGGAAAATCAAAATAAAGTTCGTAACGCGGAACCACAGAGATCCGACAATCTTCCGAATCTTTTGAAATCGACCAAGCGAAGTTTGGAAATGAATGGTATCGACGTTCTTGACAATTCAGATAAATCTACGAACGAATCGATAACTATACCTTCGGAGGTACCGGCCGAAGTTCACAACGCAGCGATGGCTGCTCGTAGGAATAGGAAAAACAGTGCGGAGTTGTTGAATTCGCCGAAAATTACTGGAGTGTCGCAGGATTCTAACGACGTGGACGATCCTAAGAGTCCACCTAAAAATAAAAGAAAAGCACCGGCACCGCCTAAAACATCAACTACAACAACGAATAGTAGCAACAACGAGCCGGATTTTGTAACACCGGTGAAGAAAATCCTAACACCTACTAGATCGCCGCACGATCTCGAAAAGGAGGACGCGATCGACAGCATTGCGGATTATACCGAATCTCTGAACGATTACGTGAACAAGGTGAGAGACACGACGGATGAAACTGAAATACGTAGACCGAGACTCGAAAGTCATATCGTTCATAGAAGAAATTCGGAATCGGATACGGACAGCGAGGTTCAGAATAGTTTTACAACTATCGAGTTGAATTCGGCTGATATTACGATTCATCGTACCCCGGTACCCGAGGTGAACGACGACGAGGAGGATGACGTTTATAGGAAGGCCGCGAGTCTAGGGGATTTGTCGAAATACGAAAGCAAAACGTCGACTCCGTTGGAAAGGGCCCAGAGTCTCGATATGACGGACACTGGTTCGAAAAAAAGGAAGGCTCCATTACCGCCCGAAGACATAAACGAGTCGACCGAAGATCTTACGAAGCTCGATCAAATGGATGCGTTTGATAAATGCAAATTGAAGAAATCTAACGAGTGGGGTACTTTGGAAGACGTCCTTTGGACCAAGGAAGATGAGGACGAGAGATCGAAAAAGCCAAGGATGCGTAAAAAGAGTAACAGCACTTTGGAAAGATCCAAATCAGCTGTAGAAATCAAATTGAAAGACGAAGTACTCTCGCCGGTAGTTAATGACAGATTGGATAACATTGAGGCTGATGATAATGAAACGAGTATCGAATTGTATAATTTACCTCTGAGCAAACGTCTAACCCAAGAATTTATACACGCGGAAAGGATGTTTAATCCCGACGAGGATAATTCCTTAGCTAGAATCGTGAACGACGGTACGGTTGTTAAGAGTCCAACGATGGAAGAGATGGAATTAGATTTCAGGCAAGCCAAACCATTGCCGAGCGAAGATGACGAAGACGATACGATTGCCATCGCCGAGGATAATGATTACGGTAGTCCCGTTAACGAGGATTTCAGCAGAGCCTTGCGTTATTTCGAGATGCATGCCAGCAAATCACCGACCAATTCTAACGAGTCTACGAAAGTTAATTTAACGCGTTTGGACGAATGGAGGGAAGAGAGTTTACGTTTGTCCAACGACGCGACACTTTACCTTGGCAAAAAGGTAGTCGTCGAGGAACCAATGACTAAGATTTTACTCGATAAGAAGTGCCGCGGTTGCGAGGAAAAATATGGACAACACGAGCACAATTGTAAGAGACGTTCTCTTGAATCTGTTCAAGATAATAAGAGGTATCACAATAACGATTCTCAAGAACATAGCAGACAATCAACTCCAGAAAACAAGAATTTTGAATCTGTTTATTCTAGCACCGTAAAAGATATAAATGTTGGACGATCTTCCACTCCAACCCATTCCAAAGTAAACTCTTCCAAATTGGATACAGAAATCTCGAAAAGTCAAGAACTCAAATCCAACAACGAGTTCAATGTCGAGCATAGAGAAAATTCTGTCTCGAGTTTTCATGCAAATAGGTCGAAATTCGAAGAGAAATCTGATCAACGTGGAAGATATTCCCCGGTAAAATCCAAATCTCCTACGGAATCGTTGCTAGAGTCGCACTTTACCAAACGTAGCGTAGGCGTATCTAATAACACGGAACAAGAGCGAGAAGATAATCGTAACGAAGATGATGAGGAAGAAGTAGAAGAGGAAATAGAAGAGGAAGACGAGTATGAGTTTGGATCTAATGTAACTGTCAACAGCAAGAACTTCTCTCCGAATAATGATAGACATAATATAAGCAACGTAAGTGTGTCCAGTGGAGAAAACAGCGAAGACAGTGGACTCGTTAGGGAATCCATTGATTATAATTCGCAGGAATCCGAAAGTCGTCCACCATTACCGAGTACACCGATGCCAAATAATTCGCAGAAGATGACGTATATAACAGAAATCAAGGTCTCAGCTAACAGAGACAATATTCGCGACCATGATAACGAAACCGAAGATGTACAAGCTGTTACGAGTAATAACGGTGAGGCTAAAAAATTAACTCATCACGAAATCATGGTAACGTCCAATGGTAAACCAAATTCGGGAAAGAAACCACCAGTTCCTCCTAGAAGATCGGATATTACGAAAATGGTTAAGGATGATAAGACGGAAAAGAACGTAGTTTATGTATCAGAATACAAATCAATGACCGGCAAGGATGCACAAATTTCTGATACCAATCTTCCTGACGAGAAACAATCTGAAGGTAATAAAAAATTTGAACATTGGATTTTCCTTGGTGATAATAAGGATCAAAATCGATGGGGTAATGGTAGTAGCCAACCGCAATCTGTTACGAATATTATGTTATCTTCTGGAGATGATAAGATGCTAAATCAGTGAGGGGAAAGTGAAAGAGAGAGAGAAAGAGAAAAGGAAGGAGATAACTTTAAAACATTTCTTTTAAATGTTTTAAGTCATACAATAATAATCCAGAATTGGATTGTCATGTAAAAATATGTAAGTAAGGATAACAACAAATTGGGCAATACTATTAATTAATTTTCCTCGATTAAAAAAATAATAATGATCATTGAAATATTATCTAATGGTGCCTGTACTAAAACGTTTATCTGACAAAAGAAGTATACTCAGGAATGCGTATATCTGAAAATAATACTTTAAATGAGAACCGAGAATGAAATGTGGTGTCAGAATATCGATAAATAATATTTCAACGCGGATCAAGAGTATATTTTTCTATTTAAATAATATTAAGTCCACGAGATATGGACAAACGTCGTTTAAGATTCTGCATTTTACATGACGTTTATTGTCACCAATTTCTGTACGAATGCTCACATTAAATGTTTTCAAATAATCATCGCAAGGGTGTGTGATCGATAAAAATTATTTGAACGTAACATTTAAAAGTGAAATTCTTTAGAATCGAAATGCAACAAAAATTGCTCGTAGAAATAGTGTCGTTTGTTTGTAAAAAAGAAAAAAAAAACCAAAAAAATAAGAGAGAAAAAAAGTTAAACACACGCACAGTTTTAACATTTTATTTCTGATAGTACTCGTAGTATTAACCCTTTCGTTCCAGCATAATTTGGCTTGCATATGGGTCGGTCCGTCAGTCAATCATTCATCCGAGACCTTTGTCACAGCGACAAAATATGTGGGTCGCTAGTAACGAAAGGGTTAAATAATTTTAGTCTTTTCTTTTTTTTTTTAATTTTTGTCTCTTAACATATTAGTCATAACTTTTATTTATTGACCAATTCATAATAGATACGATGAAAGGACTTTGAACTTTGAAAAAATATATTTTACAAAATATTCGGCACGCAAAAGAAAATCAATGGAAATAAATAATTAACGTCATGTGCCATAAGTGATCATCTATGTGGCAATGAATAAGGAAGAGATTAGAATTTGAAAGATTATTAACAAAAATAAATAGAAAAATGGTGCGCGGGTGAAAAGGAAAAAAATTGCACAAATTGTTGATATAAAATTGTTTGTTAAGTATTATTATTATTATTATTATTATTATTATTATTATTATTATTATTATTATTATTATTATTATATTGTGTAAATATACGCATCGTTTACAATTTTAAATGAATCTATTTTTGTAAGAATTTAGTAACATTTGTAGAATCAAATCTTTTACGTTTCCTATACACGTGTATTGCGTATGCAAGTTTTAAACGGTGTGAACAAAGTGAAATTTAAAAAAGGATTATCTGTAAGTAAGATATCAGTTTGTACAGTTATTATTTTCAATATTGGTAATGGGGTTTATAGATTGATAAGTTCCATTATAATTTTTAATTTTGTCATTGATCGATCTTTTAAATATCTTATTTAGTTGCAAAATCATATATTCTCTTTTGCAAGAAGAAATCTTTTCTTATTGATTAAAATTATTTTCTACTTATCGAGGATAAGTAGAAAATTTATACGAGAGAATAAAATACGATATATATCTTTTAGGAAACATTTATATTGTATTATATGATTTGCAACAAAAGTAAAGAAAGTGATGTAAATAAGTGTAAAACACAATGGAAATATATTGTTGCTGTTGATATAGTTGTGTATAAAGCATAATGCAAGGATATATAGTTATACTTAACAATTTATCCCTTTCGTTAAGGCATATAACGAAAATATTCGCTCGTATATACGTTTTGTCGCATGATATAATCCATATATGGGTCAGTCGGTCCTTCATATGGGGCCTTTGCATGGATGATTCAAATAGAAGTCGCTAATAACGAAAGGGTTAAAATAACAACATAAATAATAATTACTAATGTAAAGAAAATCGAAAAGATGTACGCTGCAACAAATTCTCTATCTGTAACTAATCGCATATTCAAAAAAAAATACTCAAAAAATGTATAAGATAAAAAAAAACGTATTTTACATTTAATTAGGTTTCGTAATAATTACTTTCGAAATATCAATTTTGTCCAGTTCTTTTTTAATTATTTACATTGGTATTTTAAGAAAACAAAATTTTGTTTATAATAACAAATTAAAGCATGTATAAATTTTTAATTAACTTAGTGTACATTTTCTTTTTTATTTAGATATAAAAGTTGGTGCAATAGAAATATATTTTTATACTTTAATGCAAGTTTTTATTTGTAACAATATTGTTATTTTTTTTCTTCTTTTAAAGCAAAACAATTGACATCTTATTCATGTTAACTATACTGTAAATTTAGTATTGTACAATACTCTAATTGTACAAAAATAATTTTAATATGAATTAAAAAAAAATATCTTATAAAATATAATGTGAAATATTGAAATACGTCGAAGGATTAAATAAGAACAATCAAAAGTAATACAATTATAAGATTTTTAATATCACAGGTAGAAAACAAGTATATATATACATACATACATATTACGATAAAATCCAAATACAATGCAAACTTATATTACTACCTCTTATTGTACTTGTTTGTGTGCATAAGTATTTATTTATAAATACGTTAAAGGAGCATGATATGACAATGTTATAAAAAGATACTGACAGAAAATTTTTTTGTTCTTCTAACGCAAAATCCATATTTGATTATTGTTCGTATTAAATTTAATTCTAATTAACTTCTATTTTGTACAATATTTAAATTTGTGCATGCTAATATTAAAGAAGAGTAAATACATTTAATATACAATTATTGATTATGTGTTATCGAACTAAATTATTTGATGTACATATAAATACATATGTCACTAATTATTAATATTAATTAGAAGATATAAATGATACGCTAGTATATGAAATACTTTACATATTTTGTTCCATTATGTATATGTACATACAAAAATATCATTGCTTATTATGTTCAGACATTTCCTGTAAAGGGAGGTAACTTTACGTAGCAGACTGCTTATAATTCTTCGTACTCATAAGTTTCTTACCACACATAGCGCATATAGATTTTTTATAAGCGCATGACTGACAATAGTGCGAACCAACTTGATGAACTTTTTGTCTGCATATTTTGCAAGTCTCAAATTTTGCAGTGTATGGATTGAATCGAGCTTTCCTTGCCGAAAGAGCTTTGTTTTCTCCAATTTTTCTTCCACCGCCTTCCACTGTGTTTCTGGCTCCAGATTTCCATGGATCGGGTGTAATTACTTTTCCCAATTTTTTCTCGCATTTCTCGCAAACCATTCTGTCGATTCTCGTTATAGCAATAATCAGCAAATTTAAAGGTCTACAAAGAAAAAACAAATCGTTTTTTTGGTTATATTCTCTCTCTTAAAAAACAAGTTTTTATTTCATACTTACGATTATTTATAAATATTGTATGTTCAGGTAGACATCAATTTATCGAATTTAATATAAATGCGAATGTGTATTTATTAATTGTTACAAATTAAAAACCATACAGATATCTCTCAATTTTACTAGGTACGAAAACACAGTGTAATCTAATACGAATGCACTAGAAAGTGCAGTCAGAGAACACGAAAAGTGGGGATGGAAAGTTCAACCAATCAATTTCACAGAATACGTGACATTATGCACCAATCACTGCGACGAATTTAGGACGATAACTGCAGCTTAATTAATATTTTTAATATATAACATTTAATACAGAAATCTATTTAATATAAAAAGATTATAGAATAATCATAGAAAAAGAATTCTAATAAAATATTATAAAGAAGGTAGAAGTAAAGGAGGAAAAAATTGGACCAATGAGCAACGAGTATAAAAAAATATTCCATCGGTGATTGGCGTATATTTTATTTGCCAAATTTTATGCACACATACATCTAATATCGAAATAAATATTAATCAACGTTAAAACTGTGTGAAGAAAAATTTAAAAAGAATCTAAAAAATAATATAGGAAAGTTAGAAATATTAATAAAATAAAAATATGAGAAAAAGAATAGAGGGATGATCGGAAGATAAAGAAGGAAAACAAGGTAACAGCAAATCACAGGAACGCTTGGCAATGTAAATGAAGAAATGGACGCGAGGAGGCGTTGGGGACGTCATATTTGATGGCGCGAATGGGCGTGAATTTAGCCGATTGGTTAGAAGAGGATAAAGAAAAAGCGAGCGAGGGTGGGGATAGGTCTCTCGGGTGGAAATTTCGAGGACGTGAAAGGCCGTGTAAAAGGGGGTGGCGCGCGTTGGTGAGAAAGGGGCGCCATCTATTCGTAGAGTACCCGGCCACCCTCGAAACACCCGTCGTGCATAAACCGCGCTCGTACTTTCCCGTATAATTGCGGCAATTCAGTGGCAGCCGATCGAGCCAGTGCAACCGTGCCTTAATAAAGTGACCAGTGTATGCCTTTGGGGAAAGGAGATAGATAAAGGTAAATAAAATCCTTCTTATTTAGCAAAAGTATTCGATCAATTGTGATTGTCGTCTCCCTTTTTTGGGGGAGAAAAAAGAAAAGACGAAAAAAATCCGAAAGAAAGAGACAGAGGAAGAGGGAGAAAGCGAGAGAGAGAGAGAGAGAGAGAGAGAGAGAGAGAGAGAGAGAGAGAGAGAAAATGTTGAGAGAGGCGTATATAATAGTTTAGCGCTGATGTTTAGGGGTTCGTTTTAACGACGTATCTACAACACGCACGATGTTGCAAGTCCTAGGAAAGAAAAATTCTGTCTTATATCGGTTAGGCTGATTCGGGGCCCCCCGATGTCCAGGGGGAGAGAGAGATATATTAGCGCGTTGGATCGATTCCCTTGCTCGACGACGGGGGAAACACGCGGCGCTCTTTGGGGGTTCTAAAACGAAGCTTACCAACCAAACTTCTCTTCTTTGTCGTTACGATAATACGAGCAAAATAATATCTATCGAAGATCAAAATAAATATCTTTAGATGTCAGGATTACGTCAGGGTTTCATTCTCTCTTTCGTCGTTCTCGTATGATTTCTTTCCCAAATTAATAAAAAAACGTTTTCTTGTCTTATTTTTACATGTATATTACAGTCTCGTCGTCAACGGAGACAACCCCTTTTATTTTCTTCAATAATTCCCTATGAGAACTTATTTTTAATAATCGTAATTAAAATTATCACTCTCGATATTACTCGCTTGCTTGTTTTATTTTCTTTTTTATTGTTCTGTAAAAAGTGATCGTTGTATAAAAATAATGTATTTTGTAAAATATACATATATATGTATATACGTATAGATAGGTGTTTCTATCTTGTCAGTTATGAATTCGATGTATTACTGAATGGGTAGAGATGTCAATACGCGATTCCGCGAGTGTGACGCGTACAACGAACAAAGGAAGATCGAGGTGTCAAGAGTGACAGCATCATTCTCTCTCTCTCTCTGTCTCCGTCTCTCTCTCTCTCTCTCTCTGTCTCTCTCTGTTCCGATCGACGCGTCACTCGATTCGCAAAGTTGTCGCATTCGACGTGAATATGTGTTGCCTCGAAACGGGAAATAGTCTTTTTCTCTCTTTTGCATATTATTTTACATCTACGAGAAAAATGTAAAACCAATCCCCCTGTAACGAAAAAAAGAAAGAAAAAAAAATAAAAATGAAATCGACCATCCTGTCTGGCGAATACGAAATTTATCAAATTTTGTTTCTTACATTCTCGTAAATGTTGTTAAATATTTTTCGAATTTGGTTTTTAAATAATATTTAAATATTGCATTCAGTAATGTATTCTAATAACGCAGGATATGTTCGTAAGTTCGAAACGCCATACGCGTAACGACGTAATACATATGTATATACGTAGAAGATTTCCATGAAACGAAACACGACACCGCATAAGTATCCATATCCTTTCTTCGAAAACACATAGAGAGAGAGAAAGAGAGAGAGAGAGAGAGAGAGAGAGAGAGAGAGAGAGAGAGAGAGAGACAAAAATGCATCCGTATGTACATTACGAAGCGATGTAAAAGCGTGTAAAACACGTTTAGAATGACTCAATCGTTTTACACGAGACGTATTTTTAGATTTTTTTATTTATTTTCATATATATGATAATTATTAAATTGAAAAATCTATGATAAATTTATAAAGATTGAAATTGAATAATATATAATAAAAGTGTAATTGGAATTGATGATAGACTTTCTGTCTCTCTGGTGTCTTAGAATAATCAATTATTTCTTGAGCTATCGTGGTTAGAAGAGTTTTTTAGTTCGGTAAGATATAAAACGTACAGTTAGAAAACGTGATTTACATTTAATTATTCATCAATTTCTTTTATCCAATGATATTCGTTCGGATGTCGATAAAGTCTGTCTATCTCTGTCTCACAAATTGCTAGTCTTCTTCTTCTTCTTGTTCGAGTTTAACAATAAAGAAGATCGACGTCTGTCGGCTTGAAACATAGATGCTAGAAAATAGGAACGGGTATATAAATCTTTGTCGAAAGTAAGCCAACGCTTTGCCGTCACTTTGCCGTCACTTTGGATACATTTTCTTCAAGGGGGTTGACTATAGATGGTATTTTACGTACAAGTGTACGGAGTAAGATGTAAGTCATTTTCCCCAGAACCACCGACTGAAACCACGAGATTTTTGAATGAGTTCAAGCAGTCGATAGAAAACGGTTATTCCAGAACTCAAATGCCAACCCTTGCTTGTGTTCCGTCAACGATGAAACTATGTTAATCGCGTATCGAGTATAATTGAACAATCAGTTTGAACAATTTACGTGAACAAATAGAAAAAATGAATAATTTCTTTCGAGTTATTTTAGAGAAAGCTATTTTTTATCTCACCCTATATGTATATTAAACATATACGTACAGTGTGAGCAAAATGTTTTAATATTATAAGTAAATTTAATTTACAAATATTGAACTATTACTTGAAACAGTTACTGTTTCAATCAACGAAGGGATGAACAATTGCTAACGACAATTAATTTGATTGCTATCCTCTATATGAATACATACAGGACAGATGTTGAAAATTCTTAAATTTGTAGTTGGATGATTTAAAAATGAAAATGAATGTAAAAAAGTTTGGAACAATAGTAACTTGAAAGATAATTGAACAATTTTTGATCCAGCCTGTATTTGTACACACATAGAGATATACAGAGAGAAAGAGAGACAGAGAGAGAGAAAGAGAGAGAGGGACACGTAGAAGCTTAGAACGGGTATTCTCCTCTAGCAGGAAAATTCGATGCTTTGGCTGTTACCTATGGGGGTCTTACCCGTATCAAACCGTAATGGCCTATGGTGCGGACCAGTGACGGTCTTTCTCGAGTTTCCGCACGACGTGATCCTAACGGCGAGACTCGGCTACGAACCGAGCAAGGACGCGGTGTTGCTCATCGTGAAACTTATCGACGAGCGAGAGAGAAAGAAATAGAGAATATGAAAATATGAGAATATGGGAGCGAAAGGAAGACAACCAAAAATAGGAGATAGAAAAAAAATACGGAACATGAGAATATCAAACAGAGAGAGAAAGAAATACAAAATATGAGTAAGAGAAAGAGAGAGAGAGAGAGATAGGTTGGGAGGGGGTTGGGGGTTGGGAATATTATGAAATACAAAAAAATATAGAACATGTGAGAGAGAAAAATATAAGGTAGTTCATATTCATGGCAAAGTTTTCATATATGTTCCAGTGGTTTTGGAATATCCGCTCTCTTCTCCTCTCTTACATAATTCTATCGATCCTTAGACAGTTAGTAGTAGCTTTCTGTCTGTCAAGCCGGCTTTTCGTGATCCACCTTGACGACTGGCGCTATTTTCGACTGTATTATCATCCGCGGTGTCGGTACAATGTCTCCTATCCGGATTAGAAACTTATTCCTCATCCGGCTTTCTCGTTACCAAGGCGACACTGTCATCAACGTGCTTAGGGTCTCATTAGAATCGACTTATAGTCCAGCCCTTTCTTCTTAAACAGTTATCCGATATCTGACACGAATTTTAAATGGACCATCCAATTGATTAGACAATCGTATTCGATTCGTTTTCCTTTTTGTTTAGATTTAAAATGAAATTGAATGAACGAGAATGAAATAATCATAATTATATATATAATGAAATCATAATTTCATGATCGGTTGCACGGTTACAGGAACTTTAATGTTTTTTCTTTTTTCGAGGGCTAATTTTAAAAAAGAAAAAAGAAACAAAATTTTAAATGGTGCCATCGTATTCGATGTTACGTTATATCACGTTCAACCAACCCTTGTGTTTTCCTGTTCATGTTTCTTTCATTGTGATTCTCGTTACGTCTGTTTCCGATGCATGCGAACGACAATCGTCAAATACTTTAATAACGTGCTGTTCGATCGGTCTTCTCGTCCCGATTTTTCAACGGATCGCGGTCGTCGCGACTCTCTTGGTCGAAGAGAAATAGCGGGAGGGTAGGGGGTGGGTTGCAAGGGGTTGACGACGACGATGACGACGACCTCGTTGCGACGCCGCGACGCGAGATGATGCGCGTCCACCTTTGTCTAATACCGATTCCGATTATGCCAATTGATTGATTCTTTTCTTCCTCGATCCTCAGCTCCCTTTGATCAATAGAATATTACCTTCGAAAGTGTTCTTTTTTTTTCATTATCAGGATTTGCCTAATCGGTGTACATCGTTGTACGATCTTTTATCAAATTTTGATACTAAACTTAATATTTAACATTTTTTAAATTTGTTCACAGATTATTATGGAATTATTATTAAATTGCATTAGCATTTTTACATTGTAATATTTATAGATAATATATTTTTCGGTATATACGTCATCGATATAAGAAAGCATAAATATATGATTAGACAAGAGTAAGAGAAAAAATAAAACGAAACCGTATCTTTTATTTTTCTATCCCCCCCATGGAACATTAATAATGCGTCACGAAATACAGGTGTTCGATTCCGTGTCTCGTGCTTGTAAGCAGGGTTTGATACCGTGCCATTATATAGCTTCGAGCATTTTCCAGTTATGCGAGAACGCACGTATGCGAGAAAGAACGAGTAAGAGAGAGAGAGAGAGAGAGAGAGAGAGAGAGAGAGAGAGAGAGAGAGAGAGAGAGAGAGAGAGAGGAAAAAAACTACCCTAACCTCCAGTGACACGACGATGGTGGCGTTCGACGTTCGCAGTTCGATTAGCGCTTATGTTCTTCCTTCGTATGTGCTTTCTCTAACACGACGACGAAGAACACCTATCGAACGATTTCAAGTTTATAAGTGAGCTAGTCAAACGTCCTACATACATGCATTCACATATACACGCGCGCACACACACATACTTCGATTTATATATCCATGCAATCGATCATTCCTAAAGCATTAGCTCCGAAAAGTACTTTCCCTTGTTTCCTAATAAACGTCTTAACGATAGTATCACCGAGGTCTTGATTTTTAACCGGTATAG